TTCTAGTAATATATGTAGTATTTCTAGGAAAAGACTGCTGGGATTCCTGCCATTTACCTGTCAAAGGTCAGATTACAGCTGCCAGGCAAGAGCACACACACACACACACACACACACAAGTACACACGCAAGCACACACACACACACACACACACACGCACACGCACAAGCACACGCACACATACTTTTACAATAGATCTGGGCATTTTACAAACAACAACAATAATCTGAACTACAGTGCATTCGGAAAGTATTCAGACCCCTTGACTTTTTCCACATTTTGTTACGTTACAGCCTTCTCCTAAAATTGATTATTATTGTTAATGTTTTCATAACTCTACACACAATACCCTATAATGACAAAGCCAAAACAGGTTTTAAGATTTTTTTGGAAATGTATTACAAATAAAAAAACAGAAATACCTTATTTACATAAGTATTCAGACCCTTTGCTATGAGACTCAAAATTGACCTCAGGTGCATCCTGTTTCCATTGATCATCTTTGAGATGTTTCTACAACTTGATTGGATTCCACCTGTGGTAAATTCAATTGATTGGACATGATTTGGAAAGGCACACACCTGTCTATATTAGGTCCCACATTTGACAGTGCATGTCAGAGCAAAAACCAAGCCATAAGGTCAAAGGAATTGTCCGTAGAGCTCAGAGACAGGATTGTGTCAAAGCACAGATCTGGGGAAGGTACCAATTTTTCTCTGCAGCATTGAAGGCCCCAAAGAACACATTGACCCCCATCATTCTTAAATGGAAGAAGTTTGGAACCACCAAGACTCTTTCTAAAGTTGGCCACCCGGCCAAACTGAGCAATCGGGGGAGAAGAGCCTTGGTCAGGGAGGTGACCAAGAACCCGATGGTCACTCTGACAGAGCTCCAGAGTTCCAGAAGGTCAACCATTTCTGCAGCACTCCACCAATCAGGCCTTTATGGTAGAGTGGCCAGACAGAAGCCACTCCTCAGTAAAAGGCACATGACAGTCCGCTTGGAGTTTGCCAAAAGGCACCTAAAGGACTCTCAGACCATGAGAAAAAAGATTATCTGGTCTGATAAAACTAAGATTGAACTCTTTGGCCTGAATGCCAAGCGTCACGTCAGGAGGAAACCTGGCACCATACCTATGGTGAAGCATGGTGGTGGCAGCATTATGCTATGGGGATGTTTTTCAGTGGCAGGGACTGGGAGACTAGTCAGGATCGAGGGAATGATGAATGGAGCAAAATACAGAGAGATCCTTGATGAAAACCTGCTCCAGAGTGCTCAGGACCTCAGACTGGGGTGATGGTTCACCTTCCAACAGGACAACGACCCTAAGCACACAGCCAAGACAACGCAGGAGTGGCTTCGGGACAAGTCTCTGAATTGAGTGGCCCAGCCAGAGCCCGGACTTGAACCTGATCGAACATCTCTGGAGAGACTTGAAAATAGCTGTGCAGCGACGCTCCCCATCCAACCTGACAGAGCTTGAGAGGATCTGCAGAGAAGAATGTGAGAAACTCCCCAAATACAGGTATGCCAAGCTTGTAGCGTCATACCCAAGAAGACTCGAGGCTGTAATCGCTGCCAAAGGTGGTTCAACAAAGTACTGAGTAAAGGGTCTGAATACTTATGTAAATGTGATATTTCGGTGAATTTTTATTTTAATACATTTGCAAAAAATTCTAAAAACCTGTTTTTGCTTTGTCATTATGGGGTATTGTGTGTAGATTGATGATGGAAAAAAAACAATTTAATCAATTTTAGAATAAGGCTGTAACGTAACAAAACGTGGAAAAAGTCAAGGGGTCTGCATACTTTCCGAATGCACTGTAAGTGCCGGTTGGCCTCATCATTAAGAAACATGTATTAGGAAATATTACAATTGGACTACTGTCAATATTGTAGCAATTACCAGGGGAGAGCCAACAACAATTGAGTTTTCTTTATGTTGCCAATTTGACTGTGAATAACAGGAACATTTCCAAAATTCTATTTTCTGGTCATTATTAGTTATTGAGCCAGGGAAGGCAGAAAGTATAGTGCCCAGTGTTTGACTGAATGGTGAAAAACAGCCACCATTTACTTTGATTATCAGTGTTCAACTTAGTGAGTGGTCATCAATTGGCAAAATTGCTATAACTAAAAATATTCCAAGGTTTTCCAGAAATCCCATTGGAATATCCCAGAATCAGGAGGGAATATGCCGGAAATCCTCCATCCAGAAATTCTGGAAAACCAGGGAATTTGGGGAAAGTGACCAGAATTTTGGAACCCTACTCTTCAGTAAATCGTTTTTCATTAACAAGAGGAAAGCATTGGTGTTGAGATCCTACACACTGTGCAGGGAGATGAGCTACCAGTGTCTGTCTATGTGTGACAGTGATGTGAAGAACAGTAAGAGCTTCTCAAAGTGGAACACATACAGTTGTGGTCAAAAATGTTGAGAAAGACACAAGTATTGGTCTTCACAAAGTTTGCTGCTTCAGTGTTATGAGATATTTTTGTCAGATGTTACTATGGTATACTGAAGTATAATTACAAGCATTCCATAAGTGTCAAAGGCTTTTATTGACAATTACATTAAGTTTATGCAAAGAGTCAATATTTGCAGTGTTGACCCTTCTTTTTCAAGACCTCTGCAATCCGCCCTGGCATGCTGTCAATTAACTTCTGGGCCACATCCTGACTGATGGCAGCCCATTCTTGCATAATCAATGCTTGGAGTTTGTCAGAATTTGTGGGTCTGGGGAGTTTCATGGCCATGGACCCAAAATGTTTATGTTTTGTTCCCCGAGCCACTTAGTTATCACTTTTGCCTTATGGCAAGGTGTTCCATCATGCTGGAAAAGGCATTGGTCATCACCAAACTGTTCTTGGATGGTTGGGAGAAGTTGCTCTCGGAGGATGTGTTGGTACCATTCTTTATTCATGGCTGTGTTCTTAGGCAAAATTGGCTGAGAAGCAACCCCACACATGAATGGTCTCAGGATGCTTTACTGTTGGCATGACACATTACATTACATTTTAGTCTTTTAGCAGACGCTCTTATCCAGAGCAACTTACAGTTAGTGAGTGCATACATTACATGTTTTTTTTTTGTTATTATTATTTTTTAATACTGGCCCCCCGTGGGAAATGAACCCACAACCCTGGCGTTGCAAACGCCATGCTCTACCAACTGAGCTACATCCCTGCCGGCCGTTCCCTCCCCTACCCTGGACGACGCTGGGCCAATTGTGCGCCGCCCCATGGGTCTCCCGGTCACGGCCGGCTACGACAGAGCCTGGATTCGAACCAGGATCTCTAGTGGCACAGCTAGCACTGCGATGCAGTGCCTTAGACCACTGCGCCACTCGGACCTACCACAGGACTGATGGTAGAGCTCACCTTGTCTTCTCCGGACAAGCTTTTTTCCGGATGCCCCAAACAATCGGAAAGGGGATTCATCAGAGAAAATGACTTTACCCCAGTCCTCAGCAGTCCAATCCCTGTACCTTTTGCAGAATATCAGTCTGTCCCTGATGTTTTTCCTGGAGAGAAGTGGCTTCCTCGCTGCCCTTCTTGACACCAGGCCATCCTCCAAAAGTATTTGCCTCACTGTGCTTGCAGATGCACTCACACCTGCCTGCTGCCATTCCTGAGCAAGCTCTGCACTGGTGGTGCCCCGATCCCGCAGCTGAATCAACTTTAGGAGACGGTCCTGGCGCTTGCAGGACTTCCTTGGGCGCCTTGAAGCCTTCTTCACAACAATTGAACTTCTCTTCTTGAAGTTCTTGATGATCCGATAAATGGTTGATTTAGGTGCAATCTTACTAGCAGCAATATCCTTGCCTGTGAAGCCCTTTTTGTGCAAAGCAATGATGACGGCACGTGTTTCCTTGCACGTAACCATGGTTAACAGAGGAAGAACAATGATTTCAAGCACCACCCTCCTTTTAAAGCTTCCAGTCTGTTATTCTAACTCAATCAGCATGACAGAGTGATCTCCAGCCTTGTCCTCGTCAACACTCTCACCTGTGTTAACGAGAGAATCACTGACATGATGTCAGCTGGTCCTTTTGTGGCAGGGCTGAAATGCAGTGGAAATGTTTTTTTGGGATTAAGTTCATTTTCATGGCAAAGAGGGACTTTGCAATTAATTGCAATTCATCTGATCACTCTTCATAACATTCTGGAGTATATGCAAATTGCCATCCTAAAAACTGAGGCAGCAGACTTTGTGAAAATTAATATTTGTGTCATTCTCAAAACGTTTGACCACGACTGTACACACCAGTGTTTCCCCTATATGCATTTAGCGGCAAAAAAAACAGAAGATACATTTTCGGGCTGGTAAAATGTTTTCAGTGTAAAACGATTAAAACCAGATATAAAGTATGTAGATAATATAATAGAGCAATATATATTTTTCATAAAAAATAATACAATCACCAAAATAAAAACTAGACAAAAAAATGTCATGGCATGGGACCCCCATTGATTTTCTTATAATGTTTGAGTCACTCAAATAGTATATGAACACGGCATAAGCCTTGGCAAAATGTGTACAATTACAGGAAATTAGCTTTAAAACTGCCATTTTTCTCTCAGCCCGTGACAAAATGTGTAGAATTGCAGGAAACTCGTTTTAAAACTGTAAAATGTTCTCTCAACCCCATTGCAAAATGTGTAGAAATATAGGAAATTAGCTTTAAATACAGGAAATTAGCTTTAAAACTGTAAAATGTTCTCTCAACCCCATTGCAAAATCTGTAGAAATACCAAAAAATTGCTTTAAAACTGTAAAATGTTCTCTTAGCCCCAAGGCAAAATGTGTAGACATACAGGAAATTTGCTTTAAAACTGTAACATGTTCTCTTAGCCCCATGGTAAAAAGTGTTGAATTGCAGGAAATTAGCTTTGAAACTGCAATTTCTCTCCCCCCCAATGCTAACTTTGCCAACGCTGCTGAAAACAATCATAGGGAAAACACTGCACACGCACACACACACACTCCGCCACTGACCTCATCAGGCGCTCCACTGCCGGGGAAGAAGTTGCCGTCGTCGTAGCGATGGAGTGACAGATAGAGAATGTTGGGGTCGCTGTAGAATGCCTGTTGCGTGCCATTTCCATGGTGAACATCCTGACAGACATGGAGAGTGGCAGGCTATGGTTACTTTCTGACTAACAACTGATTTAGGATCAGGTCTCCACATCCAAATCCTATCCATAAGCATTGTGCGCTAAACATCAAAATCAACCTTGAATCAGTCGTCAGATGGGCATAATGCTATCCACTGTCGTGCTTAGCCACTATCTAACATCCTACAACCTTTGTGACCAGTTCAGAGGGTTGCATGTGTTTTAGGCGTACAATTGGATTAAGTCTGTTTTACAAATCTCATTGCTGGGTGACAACATCTTTTACTTTCCATTTCATTTCAGCAGACCTTCCCACATAGTCAAACATAAAAAAGTGACTTAAGCTTCTATATCGAGGCATTATCTCATACAAGACAAGTTTTAAAGAAGGTAATTTTCTAACTAAGTGTCAATTTTTTGACGGCACTGCTTAAGAAGTTTCTATATTGAGACATTTTGTAATACAAAAGACGAGCTAAAAAAGCGGTCGTTTCTCCCTGGATGACAGGGCTAGCTTTAGAAATCTCTCTCAGTGACAGACAGGAGGAAATGAAAATGGTTTCAAAGGCTTTGGCCAGCTGTATAACGACCCCAGCAGCATCCATTAGCCATGATGACACGCACATCTCTTCCTGGGCATGGGGACTATTTTCAGGCCTTTCAAATGTAAAAAACGCTCCTCTTTCAGTTTCTGACCTACATACTCTAGTGTGACTGTCTTTATAAGGTGTGCTTTTTGACACAAATGTGTGTCGTACTGATAAATGACATGACGCACAGTGTGACAGATGAAACACTGGCCAGCGCTCATGCAAGATTTGGTTCTCGGCGCCAAGATTATTTTGACATCAATTTGACAGATTCTAACGCCAGACGTATGTCTCATATTATGTTATACAGACAGGTATTGTTTGTTGACACTGAATAACTTGGTCTGTAAAAGCATTATATTACACTCGCAGAACTAGGGCTGACCCCATTTAGTCGACTGGTCGATTGTTTGATCGATAGGCTGTTGGTGGACCAAGAGTTTTTTACTCGAGCGTTAGCAAATATATATATACACTATACTGTATATACAAAAGTATGTGGACACCCATTCAAATTAGTGGATTCGGCTATTACCCATTGCTGACAGGTGTATAAAATCAAGCACACAGTCATGCAATCTCCATAAACAAACATTGGCAGTAGAATGGCCGTACTGAAGAGCTCAGTGACTTTCAACATGGCATAGGTTGCCACCTTTCCAACAAGTCAGTTCGTCAAATTTCTGCCCTGCTAGAGCTGCCCCAGTCAACTGTAAGTGCAGTTATTGTGAAGTGGAAACGTCTAGGAGCAACAACGGCTCAGCCGCAAAGTGGTAAGCCACACAAGCTCACAGAACGGGGCGTAGCACGTAAAAATCGTCTGTCCTCGGTTGCAACTCTCACTACTGAGTTCCAAACTGCCTCTGGAAGCAACGTCCGCACAAGAACTGTTCGTCGGGAGCTTCATGAAATGGTTTCCATGGCCGAGCATCTGCACACAAGCCTAAGATCACCATGCGCAATGCCAAGCGTCGGCTGGAGTGGTGTAAAGCTTGCTACCATTGGACTCTGCAGCAGTGGAAACATGTTCTCTGGAGCAGTGGAAACACCATCTGGCAGTCCGACGGACGAATCTGGGTTTGGCGGATGCCAGGAGAACGCTACCTGCCCCAATGCATAGTGCCAACTGTAAAGTTTGGTGGAGGAGGAATAATGGTTCGGGCTAGGCCCCTTAGTTCCAGTGAAGGGAAATCTTAACGCTACAGCATACACTGACATTCTAGACGATTCTATGCATCCATCAAACACCTTTGGGATGAATTGGAATGCCAACTTCATTGTCCGACCTCACTAATGTTCTTGTGGCTGAATGGAAGCAAGTCCCTGCAGTAATGTTCCAACATATACCCTGTATGAGGAACAAGTTTTGGTTTATTTCATTCCATTTACCAGTTGTCAATTTATTCATTGTCTTTTATTTGTAGTGCTACTGTCAATGTTGAGTAAGAACGCGCACCTGATTACGCATAGAAGTAGGCCTAGGCTACCTGGCCTGCACGCAAATGTAGGCCTATAAATGTGCCCATTTGGGGATCTGATAGCATTTCTGATTGTCTTATCTCACCACCACTCTGGAGTCTGTTTTTGAGGATGACAATAGCTCCTCAATGTAGCCTATTTGAAAAATCTTTCCAGCTCTCTTTCGATAACCACTTGGTGTGTGAAAGGGGGAAAAAATGTCATGCTCTGATCCGGTGGAAACATCATAAAATAGGCCTACTTGATTACTTCTTATCCCATGCGCAAATAGCCTACAGCTGTGTCTGTCTGTCCGGAGCTCACTAGCATGGGAAACTCTGAGGGCCCAGAATATTTTATACAATGTTGCAAGTTTGCTAGCATTAGTTTCAGGCCAGACCAAGTTGATAGTTGATACAATGTTTCAAGTTCCTTGCAGACAGGCCATGCTTAGCCAATGTGATTTATAGGATATTTATTTTTATCAGGATATTTTCTCCCTGCAGGCTGCAATGTTTTTATTTGTTGGCTTTATGTAGGCTATTTTTACATAGTTGCCAATGGCAATATAAATCACTTTTAGAATTTTGATTAAGCACATAATGATTTTGCGATACAAAGACTATATTATAAATGAAATGAAACTGTTCCACGAAAATGTGCATATGAAAATCATAACTGGCACGCAAATCGGTAGAAATGGTAAGATAAATTGGCACTCCAAATGGAAAAGGTTGCCGACCCTGATATTGCCCATTACCGGCAACTTCAGGAGTTTAATGGCAGAATCTGCGAAGGCCAGCAGCAGCTGGAGGAGGAGGGTCAGGAACAGGTTTTTTTCTTCTAGTTAGGCTACCTTGATCTCTGGCTCCCTCTAGTCATTTGTATGTCTTAATTAATTAATCACAGTGTGCTTAAAGCATCAGACAAGCTAAGTAGCCTATATATATAGTTGATTTTATTAACACATAGGGTGTGTTAATATAGGAAAAAATACAAGTTTAAGAATTTCAACAAATCAATTGGTCGAAAGAATAGGCGACTCTCGGTTGACCAAGATTTGTTTTGGTCGGGTACGGCCCTACGCAGAACATTAACAAATGTTAAGAAAGATAGGTCACATTATTTCATATAATAATATAAGCCATTTAGCAGACGATTTTATGCAAAGCGACTTAAAGACATGCGTGCATACATTTTACGTATGGGTGGCCTCAGCGGGAATCGAACCCACTACCCCCTTGCAAGCGCCATGCTCTAATGACTGAGCCCCACCTTATTCTGTGTGAAAGCACAGGAAGTCCAAGGTGAACTCACCCAATCCACAATCAGGATCTTATTGACACTGAGCCTCTGCTGCAGAAGTTTAGCTGCGATGGCCACTGAGTTGAAGTAACAGAATCCCCTGTGTGATGGAGTGATGAGAGAGAGGGGGGAGGAGTGAAATAATATGCATTTAGTGAGTCCAACAGGTATTGTGATTAGGGTTCTGATAATTTGATTTTGCTCGAAATCTCATACTGTTTCGTAATGACTTCAACAAGATCTGATCCAATGAGAACGAAGAAAAATAAATGGGGTGGGACTTACATAGGTGTGCTCTCCTCTGCGTGGTGTCCAGGGGGCCGGACTACAGCAAAGCCATTCTGCCAATCAGAGAAGAGGGAGCCATGTTACCCATAAGGCCTTAATCAATCAAAGACTGACAGACACTCATACTGTAATAGCACAGATAAACACATAACACCATAAACACACACGAAAATACCTATTTACACACACACACACCAGCACACACACACACATTCCAGTTTCTCCATGCAGTATTCAGTTCTCTGCCTCTATGACCCTAAATCCCCTTAGGGCTCACCCTTAATTGTTTTGCCATTTACAGTGCGGAGGGTCAGACACTGCCGGTGACACACACACGCTAAAATGTTTGTTATATTCTACTGAGCCATTTACTTTATGTTAATATTCTTATCTTTTGTTATTTCTTATTGTTGTTGCATTGTCGCGAAGGAACCTGCAAGTAAGCATTTCGTTGGACGGTGTACACCATGTGTATCTTGTACATACGACTAATACATCTTGAAACTTGAAACACACACACACACAGGTATGGCTGACAGCTGGGAGCAGCAGTGCGAGGCGTGGATGTTGTGCTAATGTGGGGACCTGGGAGACTCCCGCGCCGACTGGTGTAATATGGGGACATATGGGGACTGGTAGGGACGCCCAGTGTTTGGGGGCCCTGACTGACTGTGGTATGTGTACGTGGTGAAATGACCTGTGTCCCTGTAGTCCAGTCTAATGATGTTGAGGCAGCTGCTGTGGATTACTCTCCACCTCGCCTGGCCGCAGAGGATATTATTCTAGCAGAGGGAGAGAAGGAACTCAGATCCCATCTGACGATAGGGACCGCTTTCAAAGAGCTGTGTGTGTGTGAGAGAGCGAGTGTGTGTGATTTAAAGAGATTAATGGAATTCCATTGAGTTCTATTTTAGAAACATTGATGATGCAGATGCAATGCTGACTTGGACAGGCCAGAGGGTGGCAGGTGATGTTTATGTCTGGTTTCCCCCCCTGGGGTTATGTGTGTGTGTGTGTGTGTGTGTTTTTGCACGTGTGTGTGGGTGTGTGTATGTGTGTGTGTGCTAAGATGGGGTTAAGAGGCAAGGAGGTCACTTCCTGTGACCTCTAACACTTGTGTAGAGTGCAGGCATATTTTCATGAATCATTTCAGGTCATTATTCTTAGAAAGAGAGCCATGTCCTCGATAAATCCATGAAGATGAATGATAAATAGATGAATGGATGAACAAACAAGTCCATGAATGAATAAAACAAGTAAATAAATCTCAGTAACAACAACCAGTGCTGTTCAATAAATGGCATACATACTCATCAACAGACACATTCCAAACAACAACCTTCAAATAACAATAGATCACGCCCACTTTACAGTATGCACTAACTGCATCCCCTAACTAATGCTTCCAATTCCGCTGTAACAAGAAGGAGAGTGAATGTGCTAGTTGAAGCCCTAAATCCTAGCTGAAACTCTGTGCGAGCGTTAGCAATTTAGCTCTGAGAGGAATTATCATGTCTCCATTACCTTACCCAGCTCTGCGCCGCAGGTGGCTATGGTGTGCAGACTAATAAAGACAGGGTGTTAGCGGGGACTATTAGCGTTAGCGATGCCCGCGCACTAGGCCGCCCCCCGCGGGGTTCAAACGACAGTCGGGCGCTGCCAGGAGAGGCCACAGACACAGGAAGGCAGGCGGGCAGGAGGGGAGGAGTGTCTGTCTGAAAGGTGCTAATGAGAGCTTTGCGGTGGGGAAGGGGGCGGGGGGCATTCCTACCGAGTCTGGAGGTGTTAAGAGAGAGCACGGCTAACAAGGCTAAATGAATAAAGCTACGCTAGCCCTGTGCCTAATTAACTTGAGTGGGGCTAGCGTTAGCACCGTTAATGCGGTCTAATGATCAACACTCCACTCTGCCACCTATTCACCTGAGATGGGCTAGCATTAGCATTTAGCGTCAGTTGCTAGATGGCTTTATCATTGGTAATATAGACATTCAGACAGACAGCTTGACAGACAGGCAGACAGACAGACAGCGCCATGATGAGGGACATGGAGCTAACCTTGAGCTCTCCAGCTGCCACTTTGAAGACCAGCTCCACGACGGAGCCCACAGCCAGACGAGCTGCGCTGGACGAGTGGACCTCGTTCCAAATGGTGTCGCTGTCCACCTATGAACACAAACACATATGCACATTTATTAATGCACAATATAAACAGGATTACGTTTACGTGAGACGTGGTCCTCTGTAGCTCAGCTGGTAGAGCACGGCGCTTGTTACGCCAAGGTAGTGGGTTCGATCCCCGGGACCACCCATACACAAAAAAAAAATGTATGCACGCATGACTGTAAGTCGCTTTGGATAAAAGCGTCTGCTAAATGGCATATTAATTAATTAATTAATTATAAAGAATACAATTGGACAACGTTGGACCAGGACATTTGTCCTCCCAGTCCCAACAATTCCAGAGGTAGAGAGAGTGAAGGAGATACAGTGCCTTGGAAAAGTATTCATCCCCCTTGGCGTTTTTCCTATTTTGTTGCATTACAACCTGTAATTTAAATGGATTTTTATTTGGATTTCATGTAATGGACATACACAAAATAGTCCAAAAGTGAAATGAAAAAAAAAGTGCTAAATTTTTTTCTAAAGAATACATAACGGAAAAGTGGTGCATGCATATGTATTCACCCCCTTTGCTATGAAGCCCCTAAATAAGATCTGGTGCAACCAATTACCTTCAGAAGTCACATAATTAGTTAAATAAAGTCCACCTGTGTGCAATCTAAGTGTCACATGATCTGTCACATGATCTCAGTATATATACACCTGTTCTGAAAGGCCCCAGAGTCTGCAACACCACTAAGCAAGGGGCACCACCAAGCAAGCGGCACCATGAAGACCAACAAGCTCTCCAAACAGGTCAGGGACAAAGTTGTGGAGAAGTACAGATCAGGGTTGGGTTATAAAAAAATATCTGAAACTTTGAACATGCCACCGAGCACCATTAAATCCATTATTTAAAAAAAATTAAAGAATATGGCACCACAACAAACCTGCCAAGAGAGGGCCGCCCACCAAAACTCACGGACCAGGCAAGGAGGGCATTAATCAGATAGGCAACAAAGAGACCAAAGATAACCCTGAAGGAGCTGCAAAGCTCCACAGCTGAGATTGGAGTATCTGTCCATAGGACCACTTTAAGCCGTACACTCCACAGAGCTGGGCTTTACGGAAGAGTGGCCAGAAAAGAGCCATTGCTTAAAGAAAAAAATAAGCAAACACGTTTGGTGTTCGCCAAAGGCATGTGGGAGACTCCCAAAACATATGGAAGAACTACTGATCAGATGAGAATAAAATTGAGCTTTTTGGCCATCAAGGAAAACGCTATGTCTGGCGCAAACCCAACACCTCTCATCACCCTGAGAACACCATCCCCACAGTGAAGCATGGTGGTGGCAGCATCATGCTGTGGGGATGTTTTTCATCGGCAGGGACTGGGAAACTGGTCAGAATTGAAGGAATGATGGATGGCGCTAAATACAGGGAAATTCTTGAGGGAAACCTGTTTCAGTCTTGCAGAGATTTGAGACTGGGACGCAGGTTCACCTTCCAGTCGGACAATGACCCTAAGCATACTGCTAAAGCAACACTCGAGTGGTTTAAAGGGAAACATTGAAATGTCTTGGAATGGCCTAGTCAAAGCCCTCAATCCAATTGAGAATCTGTGGTATTAATTAAAGATTGCTGTACACCAGCGGAACCCATCCAACTTGAAGGAGCCTTGAAGAATGGGCAAAAATCCCAGTGGCTAGATGTGCCAAGCTTATAGAGACATACCCCAAGAGACTTGCAGCTGTAATTGCTGCAAAAGGTGGCTCTACAAAAAATTATTTTGCATCTTCAAAGTGGTAGGTATGTTGTGTAAATCAAATGATACAAACCCCCCCAAAATCCATTTTAATTCCAGGTTGTAAGGCAACATAATAGGAAAAAAATGCCAAGGGGGTGAATACTTTCGCAAGCCACTGTATGTGCACACAAGCTACAATACAAAGCCCCTAACCACACTCACAATCACACACAGTGTATACAAATCCCTTGTATTGTATCAAAGCTTGCACAGAGAGAGCAGGAAAAATGAACTTGATTGCTGAGCAAACGAGGCAGCAGAAAAGAGACTCTCAGAGTGAGTTATGGGTCTATCCAACTGACATGAATGACACCCCTTACAGACAGAAACTCAGTTTGGACAGCCAGGCTTAGTTCTTCTATATGCGCTAGCACGCATAGCCTACTGGCACACACACACACAAACACAAACACATGCATAAACACACAACATATCCACAGTTGCACAAACACGCACACAAAAACACACACATACACACACATGCACGTACTGTACGTCAATCTAAAAGGCAGGGGGAACTAATTTGCTCTTAACACGTCTGTCCATCTGAGTGTGCTTTTATTCACAGACATGGAGTGTCAATATTAGGCCAAGGGAGAAGTTTGGGAGAGATGGGGGATATACAGTAGATGGAGAGAAATATTAAATATTTTAAAGGGGGGGGGGGGGGGAAGGCATGGAGAGTGATGTGGGATGGGGTGGGGGGAGCTGGCTAGTCCCCGTGTTGTGGAGGTGTGTGTGTATGTGGTCAGAGAGAGAGGCCAGGCATTCATCAGTCAGGGCTGATTATGCTGACACACGCCTGCTCCGTGGCCCCAATCACAGCACGCACACACACACACTCACACGCACACACACACCTTTACTCCTCTACACACCACTAGTCCTCATATTGTTGCACACACACACTCAGTATAGATATAGGACTCTTAACTCCTTGTTGTAACACTGACCGCATGTAAAAAAAAAAGAAGTTTTTTAGTGGATCAAGGGGTTGACCCCTGGAACCAACTTGAGGTCACACACACACCACCTGGGTTAGGGTTGAATTCCGAGATGGAATAACCTAAAGAGAAGAAAACAGCTGGCAGAGGGAAAGAGAGGAGGAAAGAGAGCGAGAGCGAGAGAGAGAGAGAGAGAGAGAGAGAGAGAGAGAGAGAGAGAGAGAGAGAGAGAGAGAGAGAGAGAGAGAGAGAGAGAGTGACAGAGACAGGCTTCCAGTCGAATCGTGCATCCACTACAAGACCATGGTACTTGCCTACGGAGCAGCAAGAAGACCTGCCCCTCCCTATGCTCAAACTCTACACCCCAACCCGAGCACTCTGTTCTGCCACCTCTGGTCTCTTGGCCCTCTTGGCCCTCCCACCCCTCTTCTCTGTCCTGGCACTCCAATGGAGGAACCAGCTTCCCCCTGAAGCTAGGACAGCAGAGTCCCTGCCCATCTTCCGAAAACCTACCTCTTCAAAGAGTATCCACACACTCTCCCCCTGCTACTTTATTGAGGAAAATGTACTTACTATGACTGTGAAATGTGTCTGTCCCACCTAGCTTTCTTTAGATGAATGCACTAACTGTAAATTGCTCTGGATAAGAGCGTCTGCTAAATTACTACAATGTCAATGTAAATGTTGAGAAGGGATAGAGAGAGAGGGAGTGTGTGGGGACCTGCAGGGTTTCTGTGAACCTTGGGGTCGCCAATGGACTCAGCATACATGGCTTTCAATGGCATGAACGCTCAAGGCTAGAGTTAGAAGAAAAAAGGAAAATGTGGGCCTTTTCAAGTCATGCCAAGGACTTTGTCACGAATTAAGAGTCTGTGGTGCATTTACAATGCTAAGGAGACTGGGGTGGGTGGGGGGGGGGGGGGGGGGGGGGGGGTGGTGAAGGGGTGAGGGGAAGAGAGGGAAATGGGTTGGGTGGAGAGGGGAGGGAGGGTGAGTTGAATGAAGAGTGATGGCTGCACCAGAGTGAGTGAAGGAATTGAGTGATCGAGTGAGCAAGCTAAAAAACTGAAGAAGATGACAAAATGTGACAATGTACCTAGGGATGAACTAAGGAGTGTGTAAGAAAGTGAAAGAAAAGATTGAGTGAGTGAGCGAGGGAGGGACACAGGCCAAAGTATGTCAGTAGTTCTAGTCACTAAAGGAGAAGAAAGTGCAACGTCGGAAGGGCAGAGTAGCCTTGACGAAAGCGACTTGCAAAAGTAAGATTGAGTAAGAAGAGGCGAAAGACGTATGCCAGTATGATCAAGAGCGATAGGGGGATAAAAGAGAGAGGAAAGCGAGGGACCAGGGACCAAAGAGAGTGAGGGAACGTGTTGGAATGAAAGAGTGGTGGTTCTGCTCAGGCTGACAGGGTAATTTGATGAGCCGAGGCGCTGTGCTGGGACTACAGGAAGACAACAATTTAGCCACATTTCCATAAAACAGAGCACAGCCCCTTCTGTTTCCCACCGGCAGCAGCAGGCACCGCAACAGACCCAGCTAGATACCCTCCGGGGAGAGAGATAGGTAGGGGGAGCGGGAGAGAGAGGGATTGAAAATCAGACCTCTGTCAACATATTGATCTAGGGAGCAACAAACACACAATCTGAGTTCACACACTCCAATACACACTCCCACACATACAGTACGCAAGGGAACACACGCCCCATGAAGACAGACAGACAAAATGTGGGTTGCAATCAAATGCAAGCATACACACAGAGGGTCACACAGATACACTAACCCAGCTGACCTTGTTCTTACCTGCCTCCCCCCCAACCTTCACACTGAAGTAAAAGCACACACGCACACCATTGCGCCCCCCCCAACCTTCCCCCTTCAGTGTCCCCCTGAACACACAACACACAGACAGCGCCCCCCACCCACTCTACAGGACACAGCTTGTTTATAGAAAACATATGGTCACAATTACCCACTCGACAGAAAGCAGAGCAACAGTTTTGGTTGCCTCTGGTGCTCCAGGGTGTGTGTGTGTGTGTGTGTGTGTGTGTGTGGGATAACACACAACACCATTATTTAGACAGGGGAGGATAAGTAGGGAGTAACTTACCCCCACCCCTCCACAAGGCAGCCTCACGAACATGGGAGTCAATGAACCTGAGAGAGAGCGCGAGAGAGAGAGAGAGAAAGAGAAAGAAGGGGGGGGGGAAGAGAGAAAGAGAGGTTAGAGGCAACCGGCAGAATACTCCCTTGTCACACATTATGCCCTACCAGTCTCTCCAGTCAAGAAGCATCTGCAAGATGACTACAACGTACATTTAGACATGACATCCCCTTTGAGATATAAACTAATCTTGACCTGTACAAATTCTAGCAAAAACGTTGTAAAGTGGAAACCCCACACCCTTAAAACAACACCCTGCATGGTTTGAGAACATAGGCTACACCTGTGTATGTGTGTATGAGTATTAGTCCAGTCTAATCGAGTAAGCAGAATTTCACCTTTGGGCCTGAATATTAAAATGTGTCTAGGTGACCCTTCACTCTTCTTAGTGGGTCCTGAGTTGATCATTACACTTTTGCATTAATATGAATTCATATAGCAGACACTCCTAGATTCACTCATAAAATGTAGAGCATTGATGCATGACAGAATATACAACATAATCAAACATATTTGAAGTAAACACTTTTAAAACGGTGCAAGTGGAAATACGGAAAGTACAACAGTCCAAAACAGTGTTTCCACTGTGGGTACTTGGCCTATCCACAGGGGGTACTTGAGAAGACTCATGAGACCATAGGCTTACTGGTAAAATGCAAATGAGGGGGTCCTTCATGGGTACTTCGGGCAGAGCAAAATGTACTCGGTGCTACAGTAACCAAAAAGGTTGGGAACCACTCATCTACAACGGTCAACAGAATTCAATGACTGCGTTCTTCCACAGGCACTGCTGGTTAACTCCGATGACAGCCAGGGTGGTCATAGTTCGCTATTTGAGCCAAGCTGTCAGTCTCCCTCTCTCTCTCAACCAATAGGAAATATTTAGGTGATAGATCAGAACACTTTGGGTGGAGGGAGTAAACACAGAGGAGTGATGTCATGGAACATTGTGTGTGTGTGCGTGTGTGTGTGCGTGCGTGCGTGCGTGCGTGCGTGCGTGCGTGCGTGCGTGTGTGTGTGCATGCGGTCATTATTGGCAGAGAGGTGGTGGCCTTGACCGAGCATAGGGACAGATTTGAACTAGTTCCAACTCTGATGAGATAACATGAGAATGGAACGACAACAAAACAAGGTAAACAAAACAAGCTCTGTGGAGATATAGTGAGTGAGTGTCCTGGCTTTTTCTTTACACAGAAGGCAAGTTGATAATGGTCTGGTAGAGGAACATTAGACCAGCTCTGCCCTGTAATAACAGACAGCGGAGGTGTGAGGGGGGGAGATAGTGGTCTGTGGAAGACTGTTATTGTCGTATACACTGTCATACCGTAGGCAGTCTTGTTCATGTACTGTACTATGTACATATACGGGTCAATAACTTCTGACATGCATTGATGTCAATGGAAGACAGTGTGAAAATTTGACTTCAGTGGAAGTTGGGAATCGCCCTCACTATACTGAGAGCATCTACACAATGGATCCTGTATAGTGTATTATGCAACAACATCCACTTGGGTCTGGGCTGTATCCACAAAGCATCTCAGAGTAGGAGTTCTGATCTAGGATCAGTTTAGCCTTTTATATCATAATGAATAAGATTATATGGACAGGTCCGAGATCAGCACGGGTGTAGGACTTACTGTCTAGTTTCTGTCGGAGTGGGTTGGTTCCATACAGAAGGACGTGGGCCTCAGAGTGAACCGTCTGCAACTCCTCCAGAGTGGCTTTCCGCCCTCGGATACACTGCAGAGAGACAGAGACAGAGGTAGAGGTAGAGAGAGAGAGAGAGAGAGAGAGAGAGAGAGAGAGAGAGAGAGAGAGAGAGAGAGAGAGAGAGAGAGAGAGAGAGAGAGAGAGAGAGAGAGACAGAGAGAGAGACAGAGAGACAGAGAGAGAGGGGAGAGAGTTGGTAACACTTACTATGACACCTGTATCTGTAATGCTTTATCCATTAGTTATATCACACTCCTGCTTTACTAATCCCCAAGGGTCACCTGAGCTTTTGATGGACAGGAGGGATGGAAAGATAAAAAGTAGGGAGTTAAGGAGGAATGGGGAGGAGGGGGGACAGGGTAACACCTGCAGCCAGGAATCTCCAATTAGTAACAGTGGTGGTTGTAAAGGTGGTCCGAAGGGTGTGTGAGTGAAAGAGAGACAGAGAGAGAAAGACAGAAGAGAGAAGAGGAGAGGGGAAGGGAAGGGAAGGGAGGGGAGGGGAGGAAGTCTGGGGATGGGACTTGTTTGTTTGATTGTTTGTTTGTGCCATTCAGGAAAAACAGAGACGGCAGCTATGCAACCAAGCGTAGCGCTGATGCAGTGAACGAGTGAGATGCAGAAGAGATCAGACACAAACACGCACAGCGCAGTGCGATGCAAGATAGATTATCCCCATTTAGGAACCATCTGAACCATCTGATCTCTTCTGCATCTCACTCGTTCACTGCATCAGCGCTACGCTTGGTTGCATAGCTGCCGTCTAAATACCTCTCAGATGAAGAGTAAAGCATGTCTCTTGCTGAGCAAGTTTGTGTGTGTGTGTGTGTGGTAAGTATGTGTGCGCACGTGTGTGTGTGCGTGTGTGTGTGTGTGTGTGGATGGTCACAGAACAGGTGCAGTGCGTGATAAGACCCACTATTAGGTCAAATTCAGCTTAAACCCACTAGCAGCATTTTATCTCTACCAGCGCTTCAAAACAACCTAATACTTCAAATCAACCTAATACTTCAAAACAACCCCCTAAGCTAAACACTGGTCTAAGATCAGTTTAGAATTTTTCCCCCGAATGGTTATCGTTAGGATTTGTCAAGGTATTGGCTACAGGCAACTTGCTGTGGGGTGTTTTGTCAATGGGGAGGTTGGTTTAACACTGCCCTCTCCTGGTCAGAAATGGTCTGAAAGTCCATCCCAATAGTCCAGGTTGGATGGGGAAGCCACTTCATACTATTGAGATAGGTTGGCAAACAAGCTTCCTCAGTTATTACTTTGACAGGGGACCTGAATGTATACTCTAAAGTGGATTCCTCTTAGTCTCTGCACTGATAAAAAAAAATACTATATAGGTGAAAACACCGAGCTGGCCACACTTTAACCTGTCCTATTACTTTTAGATCAGTGCTGAAGTGAGGGCTACAATGTAAGAAAGCCAGTTAACATTGAACATTTTAGTCATTTAGCAGAAGCTCTTATTCAGAGTGACTTACAATTAGTGCATTTATGTTAAAGGTACTGTATATCTCGGGATTTTGGCAATGGGGGGGATTTATTGAAGATAATCTTTAAAGAGTTAGGGTTTCAGACATTTTTGGAAGATGGACAGGGACTCCACTCTCCTGAGGTTAGGGGAAGCTTGATCCACCTTTGTGGTGCCAGGACAGAGAAGAGCTTTGACTGGGCTGAGCGGGAGCTGCCCTCCCGTACGGGTGGGAGGGTCAAGAGACCAGAGGTAGTAGAACGTAGTGCTCTGGTTGGGGTGTACGGTTTCCGTACCTCACACTTTCCCCTCAGTCCCGTCTCCTGTAGTCGGGACCAGATGCTCTGGATGCGTCCGGCGTGCTCTGGGTGTGTGTTGGTGTTGCCACACATACACTGGTGCTTCTGCATCAACGTGTCATACACCAGGCCTGGAGGGTGATGGGAACACACACACACAGGGTTATGAAAGACAATGTTATGCGACTGTTTGGGAGACATTGGTTCTCACAGGACAGCACGCACACACTGCACTGCATGGCTGATCAGTATGCTGGACACTGGGGCTCTCAGAGTGGTTTAAGGGAGAAAGAGAGTCAAGGACAATTATTTTTGTTTTCAGGGAGAGAGGACACACTAATCTAAGAGAACAGGGAGCTAAGCCCTGTGTGTGTGTGCTTGCATGTCAGTGTGTGTGTGTGTGTGTGTGTGTGTGTGAGTGAGATACAGACAACAGGTTAGAGAGAGAGAGAGACAGTGTGTGCGTGGTGTCCTTACCTATATCTACCTCAATCACCTCGTACCCCGTGTATACAGCCAAATTATCGTTACTCATTGTGCATTTATTCCTTGTGTTATTCTTTCTCTTTTTTATTTATTTTATTTAACGTTTATTTAACTAGGCAAGTCAGTTAAGAACAAATTCTTATTTACAATGACGGCCTACGTTGTTGGGATGCATTTCACTGTTAGTCTACACCTGTTGTTTACGAAGCATGTGACAAATTTGAATAGTGTGAGCGTGCGTGTGTTTCTGTGCTTGCGTGTGCACGTGTGTTAGTGTGTGTTTGTGTGTCTGTGTCTACACATGCGTGTGTGAGTGAGTGTCCGTACGTAGAGTTGAAGTCGGAAGTTTATATACACCATAGCCAAATACATTTAAACTCAGTGTTTCACAATTCCTGACATTTAATCCTAGTAAAAATTCCCTGTTTTAGGTCAGTTAGGATCACCACTTTATTTTAACAATGTGAAATATCAGAATAATAGTAGAGAGAATGATTTATTTCAGCTTTTATTTATTTAATCATATTCCCAGTGGGTCAGAAGTTTACATACATTCAATTAGTATTTGGTAGCATTGCCTTTAAATTGTTTAACTTGGGTCAAACGTTTCGGGTAGCTTTCCACAAGCTTCCCACAATAAGTTGGGTGAATTTTGGCCCATTCCTCCTGACAGAGCTGGTGTAACTGAGTCAGGTTTGTAGGCCTCCTTGCTCGCACACATTATTTCAGTTCTGCCCACACATTTTCTATAGGATTGAGATCAGGGCTTTGTGATGGCCACTCCAATAGCTTGACTTTGTTGTCCTTAAGCCATTTTGCCACAACTTTGGAAGTATGCTTGGGGTCATTGTCCATTTGGAAGACCCATTTGCGACCAACCTTTAACTTCCTGACTGATGTCTTGAGATGTTGCTTCAATATATCCACATAATTTTCCTTCCTCATGATGCCATGTATTTTGTGAAGTGCACCAGTCCCTCCTGCAGCAAAGCACCCACACAGCATGATGCTGCCACCCCCGTGCTTCACGGTTGGGATGGTGTTCTTCGGCTTGCAAGCATCCCCATTTTTCCTCCAAACATAACGATGGTCATTATGGCCAAACAATTTTATTTTTGTTTCATCAGACCAGAGGACATTTCTCCAAAAAGTACGATCTTTGTCCCCATGTGCAGTTGTAAACCGTAGTCTGGCTATTTTATGGCGGTTTTGGAGCAGTGGCTTCTTCCTTGCTGAGCGGCCTTTCAGGTTATGTCGATATAGGACTTGTTTTACTGTGGATATAGATACTTTTGTACCTGTTTCCTCCAGCATCTTCACAAGGTCCTTTGCTGTTGTTCTGTGATTGATTTGCACTTTTCGCATTAAAGTACGTTCATCTCTAGGAGACAGAACACGTCTCCTTCCTGAGCGGTTTGACGGCTGCGTGGTCCCATGGTGTTTATACTTGCGTACTATTATTTGTACAGATGAACGTGGTACCTTCAGGCGTTTGGAAATTGCTCCCAAGGATGAACCAGACTTGTGGAGGACTACACATTTTTTTCTGTGGTCTTGGCTGATTTCTTTTGACTTTCCCATGATGTCAAGCAAAGAAGCACTGAGTTTGAAGGTAGGCCTTCAAATACATTCACAGGTACACCTCCAATTGACTCAAATGATGTCAATTAGCCTATCAGAAGCTTCTAAAGCCATTTCTGGAATTTTCCAAGCTGTTTAAATGCACAGTCAACTTAGTGTATGTAAACTTCTGACCCACTGGAATTGTGATACAGTGAATTATAAGTGAAATAATCTGTCTGTAAACAATTGTTGGAAAAATTACTTGTGTCATGCACAAAGTAGATGTCCTAACCGACTTGCCAAAACTATGGTTTGTTAACAAGACATTTGTGGAGTGGTTGAAAAACAAGTTTTAATGACTCCAGCCTAAGTGTATGTAAACTTCTGACTTCAACTGTATGTGCATTTGTGTGTATGATACAGACAAGGGGTGCTTGGACACTAACCAGTGGTGAAGCAAGGCTTGGTGGGCGGTTCCTGCTGTACCACAATGGGGGGGAGGCAGGCCGAGGCAGGAGATGATTGGGCCCTGGAGAGGGGACGGTGCACTGGGAAGGTGACCGACAGGCCGGCTGACTCCATAGAAGCCTGGTAGTTCCTTAACTGGATCATCCTCTGCTGCTCCAATAACACTGCCTGCTGCTCAGAGAGACAGAGAGAGAGAGAGAGAGAGAGAGAGAGAGAGAAGAGAGAGAGAGAGAGAGAGAGAGAGAGAGAGAGAGAGAGAGAGAGAGAGAGAGAGAGAGAGAGAGAGAGAGAGAGAGAGAGAGAGAGAGAGAGAGAGAGAGAGAGAGAGAGAGAGAGAGCAAGAGCCAGAGACAGAGACAGAGAGAATGTTACACACACGTAAGCGACTACACACACACACACACACACCAAATTCAGCTTTTGTGTGCATCTGTTGAACTGCTGCAAGATTTCTTACTAGCCAGAAGATGGCGCTTGATGCATATGAATCCATTATCATAAGCCAGACAGACATGTTAATGTGGGAACGACTTTAGGAACATTAAGATACAGAGACAAATGTTTTGCAAGTATGCATGCATTCAGTATCATTTCACTTATAATCAGCCCAATTCCTGTGATAGCCTTTTGTGGCACTGGCATACTTGTATTTAGTATGAACGCTATACTATAGGTTTTTGTCGTAAGGTGCAATGGGATTCAGATTCTAAAACTGCACTGCCACTTAGTGAATTGCCACTACTGTAACTAACATAGCAGGATTGGACTGGGGCTTCGCTCCTGCTCTAACACTTCATTTCCCAAGGGCCACCAGTGCTCTACTTCTTGCCGGGGGATGTGGGGTGTGTGGGCGTCATGGTGACAGGAAGGACAGTGGATTGGATTTGGACCGACTGCAGGGCTGCATGTTAGACAGGGATGACATGGTGTTCTGGCTAAGTGTGTTTGTGTGTGTGTATGTGTGTGTGTGTGGCCCTCGGGAGGCTAACTCAGATTCAGCAGTAGAGAGGAGGCGTGAGGCTGACCTCAGCCATTCAGATAAAAACCTGCACGCTATTTCACTTTGTGAGTAGGAGTATAGTGTGTGTGTAATTGTGTGTGCTTGCATGTGTGTGTGTGAGTGGTTGTTTGTGTGTCCATACAGTAAGAGTAAGCCATGTGTGGGTGTCTGTTTTTCGTGAACTGACTATAAATGAAAATAGCCTACATTCTGTTCACTATCACACATGCAGTACACGTGAGTGTAGTCTTCTTTCTCTGTATGTCTGTCCATCTAGATACTCCAGCTCTCTTCAACTGGTGATGTTAATCACATTTGAAAAAGTTTGTGTGTGCGAGTGTGTGTGTTTGTCCTCTACGCTTCGCTCTCTCCTACCTGTCTGAAGAGCAGCTCCTGGTCGACCATCCTCTCTCTGTTGTCCCACTCCTCTTCCTGGGGGTCCGGGGGCTCCTGCTTGACTGTCACCCCACACATGAGGACTCCTTCCTGGGGACACAGGGCTTGGTGCTCCCTTAGCTCCTCTTCTGTCTCCTCCGGGTGGCTCTCGTGCTGTCGACCCGGCCCTGGCTCGCTGGGCTTGGCCATCATCTGAGGGGGAGGGGGGGGGGGGGGGTTGTCAAAGGTTAGAAGATACAGCACTGGGTATGGATAAGTTACACATACCTGTACCAAACCTAAGTAACAATAACTGTTGCAATTCATAGGTTGTGACATGTTCTATCGCTGGGTGACGCCATAGAAAGCCCACTTCCTTGATGCCTATGGGGGGAGTATACTATTTTCCAGATTTTCTAAAATGTTAAACGGTAATGGAAAGTTAGTCAAGTGCTTCCCAAAAGGTGAGTCGGGACCCTAAGAGTGGACCACCACAGCCAGTCCCTCTTGGGTTGTCGCTAGAAACATGTTATTGTCGATCAAGTGGCTCACAGGCAGCCCAATTCTGATATTATTTTCCACTAACTGGTCTTTTGACCAATCATATCAGATCTTTTCACATCAAATATTCTTCAGAGGACCAATTAGTGAATAAAATACCAATTAGTGAATAAAATATCAGAATTGGGCTGCCTGATTAAATGCAATCAAAGAAATTCAAAAGCCTCATGTCATCACATAAATGTTTTGTGAACCACTGATCTAGGCAAGTTGCAGCAGAGCCATATCTAACCATAAGGATTCAATCCTATCCTTTATTTTCTTCTCCAATGATCCAAGTGTTTTCTATCAAGTGTAACTGTTATAGTACTGTTATTGTACTGTTATAGTTAGACAGTGATATGATCGTCTATATGCACATAGGTGAATTTATACAAGTTCAAAAGTGGTTCACAATTACAATCTCTCTTTGCAAACATTTGCAAACACTTCCTTCGGGGTGCAGAGGAATCCATAAATCCACCGAGGAACATGTCTAAATATAAACGTACGGTAAACAAACGTCACTGCTCATCTCCAAACCGGCATCTATTAGCTCAGATGACAAGCTGACTGGCTGGCCCTTATGACATGTTGCCAGAGGCAGTGGTGGCTGGTTTGTTTAGAGTATAAAGGTTAGTCAACCCACGGTCTTCGGGTTCACACAGACTCGCCATGAGAAAAAGAAAACAGAAGAGAAAGAATGAGAGAGAGCGAGCGAGAGAGAGATAGAGGTGAAGCCTCATCATAAAAGTAGAGAGAGAGAGATAGAAAAGGAGAGAGGACTGAGGTCTCATCATAACAGTAGGGAGAGGAAGGGAGAGCGAGAGAGGGAGATTATCCTCTATAAACAGGAGGACAAAGAGGGTACTTCTGTTAAATAAAACAAGTGCGGGAGAGAGGGATCAAGAGAGAACATCAAAGTTGAGAGCAAGGGGGAATGAAGGAGGGACGTTGGGTAAGGTATAGGGTTTAGAGAGGAAGGTGAAGAGAGTGAAAAGAGAGAGAAATCAGAAATAGAGTCAGAGAAGGCAGCCCAGAGAAAGTGATAAAGAATGATAGCCAGATGAGGGCAAGAGAAAACTGAAGAAACTGAGACACAGAAATAGAGAAAGAGAGAAGGAAATAGATAAACAGACAGAGCATGAGAGAAACAGACAGACCGAGAGAGAGAGAGAGAGAGAGAGAGAGAGAGAGAGAGAGAGAGAGAGAGAGAGAGAGAGAGAGAGAGAGAGAGAGAGAGAGAGAGAGAAGGAACGAGACTAACAGAGAGAGAGAGAAGGAAAGAAAGAGAAGTAAAGAGAGAGAGTGTAATTTCAAGACTGTGGCGGATGTTGCTGTGCCAGGCCAGCTGGGTCCATCTAGCTCGGTCGCCACGGGGATGGCAAGGGAAACTACTACACCCCCACACCCCCCGTCCTTCACTCCCCTTTTCAGTGTCCCAGATCGTAGCAACCATGTCTGGCAGACGCACACATGGGACCCTGTTGGCATGACGCCAGGGGAACCGGCTCATTGACGTCAGAGCGCCGGTCTCTTGCCTCATCCCCATCTAAACACAAGCCACTCTTTTTACACTCCACCCCCCTCTTTTATTCCCCTTGACTCCCTCTCTCTTTTTCTCTAAATTCTCTCTATTTTTTAAAGGGGAAACTCTCTTTTGGGATTTACACCAGCTTTGCTTTGAAGTTGGATGCAAAATAAAGTTAAAGTTTTGGAGAGAAAGTGGGAGCCTACTGTAGTTCCTTTAATGCTTAAATACTGGTAGTTAAGCAACTCCTCGACACTTAATATCCAAATATACATTTATCAAGCATTTCAGCTTTGCTGTACCTTTCATCCAAAACATAAAGCAAAAAGCAAGTCTCCTTCAAATACAAAACTTTTTGACAGTAGATGACAACGTAACAGTAGCAATATGGAATTATTGATATAATGGAGACAGCTGATTCAAGTAGTAAAGTGACAAGTGACCTCTTACGGATCACCAGCAAATAATCAATGGATCATGAGAGTCAGCAACCCAAAATATGACTGAGTTGATTTAGCCGCATGCTAACCTGGATCCTACCACTCCCATTGCTTTTCAAGAAACAATGCAAATGCTAAACGTTGGGAAGTAAACAAAGCCATATTCTTCATATTCTTAACCGTTGACCACTGAGAATCCACATGGATCACTTGCTAGTTCTGAGGTAAATTCTGAGGTAAATTTGTCATTTGGTTGAACTACCCCTTTAAAATAAAAACATTTATAGGCCATATTCTTCATATTCTTAATCGCTGACCACCGAAAAACCACATGGATTACTTGCTAGTTCTGTGGTAAATGTATAATTTGGTAATATCCATTGTTACATGTCAATGTGGCCATGTGTCAGTGAGGGACATAAGTAGGGGAAAACAACAGAGACTCAGAGGATAATAGTATATCATCCTCAGGGAATGTCACGTCACAGGAGAAAAAAAGAGCAATAATTATCTCTCTACGCCCCCACCCTGCTCCGGCCTTATGATTCTCTATCCTACCTAATCACCACACACACGCAAACACACACACACTGAGCTTCCTGTGTGACCATATAAGGAAGTGGCTTCCTCCATATGAGGTAGTTGCTATGGCGACGGAAGAAGCGAGCACAGGAACATGCACGCAGGGCAGGCAGACTCTGACAAACACTTAGCCGATGTACAGCTGTTGTGTTACTGCTGCTGGTGATGGGGGGGTGTTGCTTTTGCTTAATGACATAGCAGACACACACTTACACATGTACACAATCACACTCGCACACACGCATATACACATGCCCACACGCCCCCACCCCCTCCCACACACACACCCGCCCCCACACCCACCACCTCCTCCCAGACACACACCACACATACCTTGTTGATGTGCAGTTGCTGCTGCTGGAACTGCTGCTTGTGTTTCTCCAGGAACTGCTGGTGCTGCTGCTGGACTACCAGCTGCTGCAGGGCCTGGGCGTTCTGGGGCAGAGGGGCCGACTGGGTCCTTCCTAGGGGACGGTGCTGCCCACGCAGCTTGTGGATGGAGGGCGACTGCAAGGGCAGCCCGCCCAGGCCTGAAACACAGGAAACACCGACAACATTAAGAGGATGAGCCACAAGTAACATTGGGGACCCACTAAGTGGAGGCTGGTGTTGAAACCGGAGGACAGACTGATTGTTATGGCTGGAATGGAATGAGTGGAACGGTATTAAACACACTCATTACATTCCAGAAATTACTATGAGCCGTCTTCCTTTCACCAGCCGCCACTGACACCACCATGGAAGGTGGTCCTTCGAAACCAGGATTTTGGGATGATGTGCTTTGGATAGTGCCTGAGACGGAGTGGATATGCTTACAGCAGGACAGACCTAGTGGGTTCTGGGACTGCTCCAGGAGGACCATGTGGTGGAGGAGGGGGTTGTGTGCCGAGCCCCCGTCAGTCAGGTAGGAGGGCAGGTGGGCCCCCGGGATGAAGGGAGTGGTTATGGGGATGCCCTGCTGCAGCCTCTCATGCATCGATAGCCTGTCACCATCCTGCTGGCCTGACGTCATCTGAAAGGAGGAAAAAATATGCAGGTGCCGGGTGGAAGTTGCCACTAAATGCAGACCAAAGTGTAGTGTATTTCCCTCTAATACATTATGGGGCAAAATACTGTATATCAGTGAACTACAGTGAACTAATAACCCTGCCTGACTTCACTTGGAAGAGTTGGAAACATGTAGAGACAGAAGAGACAGAGAGAGAGAGAGGAGGGAGAGGAGAGAGGAGGGAGAGGAGAGGGAGAGAGACGAGAGGAGAGGAGGAGAGAGAGAGTAGAGAGAGAGAGAGAGAGAGAGAGAGAGAGGAGGGAGAGTGAGAGAGAGAGAGAGCGAGAGAGGACAGAGACAGAGAAAGAGAGGAGGAGAAGAAAGAGAGAGAGAGAGCGAGAGAGAGAGATAGAAGAGGGGGGGGGGGGGTGGTAAATTTTTTAAAAAAGGGACGGAGAGGGGGACATTCCTTACAAAAAAATACAAACGTTGAATGGGCCGTCTGAGGGGATAGAACGTGCGTCACTGACCTACTGCTGGTCATTGTCTCTCAATGGGGCCTTTCTGAAATGGAAGTGGGGCTGAAAAGCCACATATGGCAGATGGACTAGGTCTAGACAGGGCCCCTGCTATGTGGAGTCTTCCACTGTGAAAGGCCTGTGTGCGCAAGCAAGCCCTCAAAGTGATGGAGGAGAGGAGAAAGGAAGGAGAGAGTGAGAGAAAAGAAAGCGAGAGCTAGGGAGAGAAAAGAAGACATTGGGGAGAGAGGGGAAGCCAGTGGAGAGAGAGTGTAGTAGGGAAAGGAAGAATGTGGGCGAGAGAAAAAGGGAGAAAGTGAGATGTCTGGGTAGAGATACAGTAGAGTGCAGAGCGAGAAAAAAGTATGAAAAAAAGAAAATACTAACTAACGAAAGACAAACCAATGAAAAATATACAGAAAACAAATGAAAGAATGAACAGACAAGACAAAGAATGAAAGAAAGAACACAAAGAGTGAGAGACAGACAGAAAGTGGGTGTATGAACTCACGCTGGACGGGCCGGTGGCTGGCAGGCCCAGGGTGATGTTAGGCAGTGAGGGCGATGTGTACAGAGACAGCTGGCTCAAGGGGCCCTCTCGGCTGGCCAGCCTGTGGGCCAGGGAGGCCTAGAAACAGAGGAGCACACAGTCAAAGAGACACACACACTCAAACACTGGCCAGATAAATAGACCCTTCTTCAAAAATACACAGCCCCTGTGGCCTCCTGTCTACACGGGCAGTCTGGAGCACATGTTGGTTACAGAGACACACACTCAGAGACTCAAACACTGACAAGGATAGAGATACACATACTCTATGCACAGCCACTTGCATTTACACCCTCATGTGCACAGACACGCAAACAAACACAAGCACCCATACGTACACACACAAACAAACAGTCACACCGGATCAAACAAGCATGTAAGCACATGCGCATGCACGCGCACACATGCCTTATAGTGTGAGCCAACATATTAAGCAAACAGTCCTCTGCAATGTGACTGGGAAGAGTCAACATCAAAGCAGATTGAAAAGAGAAGAGTATATCAGAAGCCCATGGTTTCTGCATGGTCACAGCAAGCTAACAGCTTGATGTAGGTTAAAGTTATAGTGGCTGCTTACCTCTACTGGACTAGCAATGCCATTCTCATTGGTGATGTTACTGGAGCTGTTGTTGGGCGAACTGGGGCCCGAGCCAGGTGCACTGTTGCAGGCCGATTCTGCAAAAAGACAAAAAACACAAGACATGAGGCTCCCACACAACACGCATACTGATCAAGGTACCAGGTTGGAAACCTATCGATTTCAACCCACAGAAAAGCACTAAAGTTATAGATGCAAGGGTTGTGCGAGATGGAACGTATTCTGTTTGGGATGAGTTGTGCGCCGGAAGCTTACCAGCCATGTCCAGAGAGCGCTTCTTGGCAGTAGTGATTATTGGACCATCCTTCCTACGTAGCAGTGGGCTACTTCTGCGCTCTGTCACCTTCTGTTTTAGCCTGGACCGGAGCTTCAAGTTGGGCTCAGAGGCTAGAGAGAGAGAGGGAGAGAGAGGAAGAGAGAGAGGGAGAGAGAGGGAGAGAGTAAGAGAGAGGAAGAGAGAGGAAGAGAGAGGAAGAGAGAGGGAGAGACAGGAAGAGAGAGAAAGAGAGAGAGGAAGAGAGAGAGAAGAGAGAGAGGAAGAGAGAGAAAGAGAGAGAGGAAGAGAGAGGAAGCGAGAGGAAGAGAGAGAGGGAGATAGAGGAAGAGAGCAGAAGAGAGAGAGGGAGAGAGAGGAAGAGAGAGAGGAAGAGAGAGGGAGAGAGAGGAAGAGGGGGTCCATTAAAACCACGCTTGAGAGCATAACATACACAACACGGACGACAGAAATCGCCCTCCAAATGGAAGAATATGCAGTTCTTAGTAAGGCCTTTTTGCTGGCATCGCCACTGAGGGCATACTTGAGAGGAAAATTCATTGGGTTGAGAGCCACAGGAGGACAAACAGTATTATAAAGGTTGACCATGACAAAGATGAAGAGAGTGAGGGTGAAGGGGCCTGGATTCCTAAACACTCAAAAAGGAGAGAGTGGAGAGACACACGACTAGTGTTATATTTCGCAATTCCATGATTTGCATGATTTGCAGGATTCATTTGAATCAAACCAAATACTTCTGCTAATCATGAATGAACACAGTTATGAATACAACACTGTAACAGGGACCGATGTGAAAATGTTCGACATGTACTGTTCCGTCTTGCACATGAAGTATGCAGAACTGTGGAAGTGGGAGAACATTCAGAGGCTGTTATCTTTCTGAAGAGATTCTCGCTGATCTGGCTTTCCTGGCTGTCAAAGACTCAGAGGGCTTTTGGGTTTCTAGTCGCAGGCAATGACGAGAGTTCTCTCTCTCTGCTGCAAAATAAGCCTGTCACTCTGCTCTCGCTCTCCTTTCCTGCTGTCTGAAACTGTCTGTAAACAAGAAAAAACTCCAGACCCCAGCACACTGCCTCCCACGGCGCGACTTCTGCTAAGCTGTGCTCAATAGAGACCTGAGGTGAGGTCACACTTCTCTGAAATGCTCGGAAAAGAGAGCCTTTACTGGAGAGTGTTTACAATGTAGACACAATTAGATCAATGGTGCCAAACACCACACTGTGCTGTGGAGCCTAGAATGAAATGATCACCGCAAATGAAGTGCCGCACATGGCGCTCACCCGGTACCTCAGAAGGGTTAGCCAGTTCAAGGCATTTAGTGCTAACAAGCTACTCCTTAAAGGGCTACTTCTGGAAAGGCTGATGGAGAGGATGAGAAAAGACTTGATGAGATGAGCTCCAAACATGTGACAAGGACGAGCAGCAGTAGGGGGAACGAGTTTCCAGTCTTGGCAGCTCTTGCCGACCTCATGCTTAATCAAGCCTGTCTAAATGCCAAGCAAATGAATAGCTCTTGTTGTCAAATGCTCTCTATTAAACGAGTGTGCCCGTTTCAGGTTTGCAAACAGTCGTTTTTGTTCTTTCTCGCTTTCTGTGTGCAGAGAGGCAGATAGCCTTCTTCTCTCTCCTTTCCCTTCAATTAGTCCGGACCAAACGTTGACCACCAGTTAACCCTTTGGCTTGGCCCGTAACCTCGTGTGTGAAATGGGTCCGGCTAAAAAAGGCAAGCTACACTCATTAGCGTAGGACTCAGGGCCATCAACTTGGACAAGGCCCATGGGACTCTCTGGGTTTTCAGTCAGTGGATATTTGGTCAGGGAATGTTTGTTGTTGGTTTTCCCATCCCTTCCCTTCAACTCCATGTATCCTTGAATGTGAAAAACAGGTATAAGAGTTGACCAGATTACCTTTTTTTAATGCACTTGGTGCAGTCAGAGAATACCTCTGGCCCATTTGGGAAGAGCATGGGCTTTTAGTGCGTGGAATGTATAATTTATATGCACTTTTTGAAAGTGCACTTTCAATTTGAGGGGCTGAACTTGCGGTTGAACTTATAAAACTTGATAATCAAAAAAAGAGCGGCGCTTCTTGTAAGTGGAGGGCACTTGTCCAAAAGTCTTTGTTAACAGGATCAGGGGAGGCCCAGTCATGAATGTTGTGCATTAGCAGCTGGAGTGTATGGGAACACATTCAAAGAGGCAATTCCTCTGAAGAATTATAATGCAATCTAGTGCAAATTAGCCTGACCCTTCCAATAGTCTGAAGTAGTTGACAATAAGGTGGTGCAGACTACTTATACCCACAACAGCTGTCTTAATGTAAACTGGCCATAGATGGGTGATATGTTTATTTGTGGTTTTGCTGGCAGATACTGCAGTATATGATTTTGTGAGAATGTGCAGGAGGGGGATCTCTGTAGCTCAGTTTGGTAGAGCATGGGGCTTGCAATGCCAGGATAGTGGGTTCAATTCCCGCGATCACCCATACGTAAAGAATGTATGCACGCATGACTGTAAGTCACTTTGGATAAAAGGGTCTGCTAAATGGCATATATTATTATTATTATATGGGTATTAGAGAAGGTACATTAGAACCTTTGATAAAAAGGGAAGATAATTGGAAGACGATTCTCATTCTTGATGATGATGACAGTCGTATAATCAGGTTGCGTGACGGACTAGTAGGTTTATAAGTGAGACAGGTGAAGGTGGGTTAAGCTCAGAAGCGTCGACACACTCGTTTGAATAACAGATTAGATGCAAACGCTGTATTAGCGTTCACATCTCTCCTGTCATGCTTCAGTAAAAAGCTGTCTAGAACAGCCACCACATAAAACGCATGTCCCCCCTGTAAAACACTGCAACACTGCTGAATAAATAATACACTCACTAAAGTTCCAAGGAAAGACAGACTATAAAAAATGAGAGATGTAAAATTTGCAATTGGGCCTTCGGCCCTGAGCTTTAATTTGCGGTGTGGCGGACTGTGGCAGAGTGGCTCAAGCAGACCAAGCGGGCCTAGGCCAAAGGACGTGGCTGGCAGCCAGGAGTGGAGAAAGGGCTGAGACGGGGATGGATGGATGGAGGTTTGTGCCCGTGCCAGGGTTTTCTCGGTTCTCTCACGCTCAGAGGAGAGATGGTGGGGGTAAAGTGTTAATGCAGGCAGAACCAGGGGCTTATGGCCTGTCTGCTCTGCAGGCTGGAGGAGCCTGTGGGGGTTCACCCCGGGACGCGGTGACTTTGAAGGGTGTTAGTGCGGCCATGCCAAAAGACCCACTGCAGGGGCCCACTGCTGACTCTAGCAGTCTCTCGCTCTCCGAAATGTCTATCTATGTGAATGAAGTTTGAATATTACCTCAGAGGAAGCAAAAATAACAGTAAACAATATCACTGTCTGTGAAATCAAACTCTACATCTTGCTCAAAATCTAGACTTTAGTCATGGTTTCTCATTTCTTCAGTGTAAATTAAAAGTTCACATTGAAACATCAACGAAACATGGCGTTAGAATCTCAAAGAAGCAATTTTTCACTTCAGTTTCTCCACAAACAAGTCTTGAATGGCGCCGGAGAAGATGGCTGCCGTTTTACAGCCCTCTAACCAATTGTACTATTATTTGTGTTTTTCAGCGTTATTTGTAATTTATTCTGTACATAATGTTTCTGCCATCATCTCTTATAACCAAAAAGAGCTTCTGGATATCAGGACAGAAATTACCCACCTCATATTGGACAAATAATTTTTCTTCAACAAGTCGGATGCGAAGGATATCCTACAGACACCCGACAAGGCCCAAATCCCCGTCATTCGCATGAGAAAGAGACGGAGATATCGTGGACGTAGGTCGGGGTGCCTTGTAAGGATCCGACGGCGAGCGAGTAAACTGCCTCTTCCATCAATCCTATTAGCCAATGTTCAATCATTTGAGAATAAATTGGATGACCTAGGATTACGGTTATCCTACCAACGGGACATTAAAAACTGTAATATCTTATGTTTCACCGAGTCGTGGCTGAACGACGACGTGGACAACATACAACTAGCGGGCTATATGCTACATCGGCAGGATAGAACGGCTGACTCCGGTAAGACAAGGGGTGGCGGTCTGTGTATATTTGTAAACAACAGCTGGTGCACAAAATCAAATACTAAGGAAGTCTCAAGGTTTTGCTCGCCTGAGGTAGAGCATCTCATGATAAGCTGTAGACCAAACTATTTACCAAGAGAGTTTTCATCTATATTTTTCAGAGCTGTCTATTTACCACCACAAACCAATGCTGGCAATAAGATTGCACTGAATGAGCTGTATAAGGCCATAAGTGAACAGGATAACGCTCATCCAGAGGCAGCGCTCCTAGTGGCCGGGGACTTTAATGCAGGGAAACTTACATCCGTTCTACCTAATTTCTACCAGCATGTTAAATGTGCAGAGGAAAAATAACTCTAGACCATCCTTTACTCCACACACAGAGACGCATACAAAGCTCTCCCTCGCCCTCCATTTGGCAAATCTGACCATAACTCTATCCTCCTGATTCCTGCTTATAAGCAAAAACTAAAGCAGGAAGCACCAGTGACTCTGTTAATAAAAAAGTGGTCAGACGACGCAGATGCTAAGCTACAGGACTGTTTTGCTAGCACAGACTGGAACATGTTCCGGGATTCTTCAGATAGCATTGAGGAGTACACCACATCAGTCACTGGCTTCATCAATAAGTGCATCGATGATGTCGTCCCCACAGTGACCGTACGTACATACCCCAACCAGAAGCCATGGATTACAGGCAACATCCGCACTGAGGTAAAGGGTAGAGCTGCCGCTTTCAAGGAGCGGGACTCTAACCCGGACGCTTATAAGAAATCCCGCTATGCCCTCCGACTAACCATCAAACAGGCAAAGAGTCAATACAGGACTAAGATTGAATCGTACTACACTGGCTCTGACGCTCGTCGGATGTGGCAGGGCTTGAAAACTATTACAGACTACAAAGGGAAGCACAGCCGCAAGCTGCTCAGTGACACAAGACTTCCAGACGAGCTAAACCACTTCAATGCTCGCTTCGAGACAAGCAAGACTGAAGCATGCATGAGAGCACCAGCTGTTCCGGATGACTATGTGATCACGCTCTCCGTAGCCAATGTGAGTAAGACTTTTAAGCAGGTCAACATTCACAAGGCCGCAGGGCCAGACGGATTACCAGGACGTGTACTCCGAGTATGTGCTGACCAACTGGCAAGTGTCTTCACTAACATTTTCAACATGTCCCTGACTGAGTCTGTAATACCAACATGTTTCAAGCAGACCACCATAGTCCCCGTGCCCAAGGACACTAAGATAACCTGCTTAAATGACTACCGACCTGTAGCACTGACATCTGTAGCCATGAAGTGCTTTGAAAAGCTGGTCATGGCT